TGCAAAAGACCCCTGGATTCTTGGGCAAGGAGACGGCACATTGAGCCCGCCTGGACTGGAGGAATCATAGTGCACTGGGTCCCCAGGGCTGAAGAGGGGGTCAGACAGAGTCCCCACACATCTCCCATCTCAGCACTACCCTTGCTGCAGCCCTGACCAGCCCACCTCACCGTGGCTGCTGATGGACTTGCCCTGGAGCAGTCCCCAGGGCCAGAGGATGTGCTGGCCCGTACTACTCCTCATTTGGCAGCAGCTGGGAGCTCTGAACATCCTGGCCTAGCTAGGCAGCCGGGCCTGAGGGACATAGCATAGGCTAGTAGCATCCGCGGCACATTAAGAGCGTGCAGCTCTTCTTCATCCATCTGGCCCCTCTCCTGAGACTGCTGGAGAACAAGTGTGCTGTTTAGTAATAGCCTGCTGCGGGCATGTTCCTGAGGCGGCCCATAAGAGCATAATCCTCCACCTTGTCTTTGGCCTCCACAACCCCAGAATTTAGTTCCTATTGTCATCCTGATTATCCCAATCCTAATATGTTTGATGCCAACCAACCAGCCAATTGAGGTACTTCCCTGCCAGAAATGAGTCACTGTCTAGAAGTAAAACCTTAATGAAAAACAGTGTCTAGAATGGCCTGGGGGTAGGGAGTAGGGAGAGCAGGATTGTGGATCTTACTGAGTTGGCAAGCACCTGCCAAATACTGACTGCAGAGTCCCTGATAAACCAACCTTGTGGAAGGGAAAGCAAGAAGGGGTGCAGAGGGACCTCACAATCTTCTTTATATAAGATTCCCATATTCACTATTGCCTCTGCCCATTATCTCCATCTCAAAGTGTGTCCAGTGCTGCTCTGTGAGTTCATTGTTTATTCTCTTACCTGGCTGGCTGGAGTCCTGCTCGTCTGAATTTGTATTAACACATTGTCCTAATCAGCTCAGGCTCCCATAACAAAATTCCATAGACCAAGTGGCTGACACAGCAGAACTTTATTTTTCTCTCTTCTAAAAGCTAGGAAGTACAAGATCACGGTGTTGACCCCTTCAGTTCCTAATGAAGCCTGTCTTTGGCTTATTGGTGACTGCCTTCCTACTGTGGGTTCTCATGGTGACGGAGGGAGAGGGAAAGAAGAAAGGAAGGAGAATAGAGAGGCTGTTTCTTCTAAGAGGAATACTAACGCCACAAGATCAGGCCTCCACCTTTATAATCTCATGTAACTTTAATCACCTCTATTTCCAAATACAGTCACATGAAGAGTTAGGGTTTTAACATATTCATTGGGGGTGGGGAAATGAAGTCCATAGATAACACCCTTAGAGAAAGAGAGAGAGAGAGAGAGAGAGAGAAAGAGAGAGAGAGAGAGAGAGAGAGAGAGAGAGAGAGAAGATAGAACCAGTCAGCTGTGGACCAGACCCTTGGGTGTGTGTTGCCTGGTATGATATAGCTATAAGTATACTCTGTGTACCAGTGGGACAGGGGCAGTCTGTTGTGACTCTGTAAAGTAAACACCTAAGTCGAAACATTTCTTAGCCCCTAAATTCATAGGGAATGTGGGTATTGGGTTAGGTTTCTGCCTCTGTAACAAAATAATATGAGGTTTTAAACTTAAAAGAAGAAAGACTTATTTTGGCTCATAGTTTCAGTCCATGGTCACTTTGCCCTCTTGCTTTTGGACCTGTGGTAAAGCAGAACATTATTGCAAATGGGCATGTGGAGGAAACTGCTTACCTCATGGCCACTGGGAAGCAAAGAGAGACAAAGGGTGACCAGGGTCCAATACCCCTTCAAGCACACCCCCCAATGACCTAACTTTCTCCCATTAGGTTCCACCTCCTAAAAGTTCTACCACCTCCCAATAGTGTCATGGGCAAGGGCCCAAGCCTTTAATACGTGGGACTTCGGGAGCCATTTAAGATCCAAACCGTTTTAGGAGAGATTATTTTATTAATTTTATTACAACAGATTATTTATTTTAATTACATTTATAGGTACAGTTTAGTTATACATAATGATCACATTCATCATAGAGAATTTGTACCTGTATGTGATATATCTTAATTCCTCTTTTTTTCTCATTCCCTTCCCCTGCCTTAAGCCCCTCTTCCCCTCCTTGTTTACAAAGCTTCATTTCCTTTTTATCCTTCTATTACAACTGATTTAAATAGATGATTGTACACTGCAACATTGGTAAGAGTGAGATCACATGGCCCAGCCAGAGGGAAGGATAGGTTCCTCTAGTCTAAAAATTTCACGGGGTTTGGGAAGCAGAGAAATTATCTGGGCAGATCTAGAGTCCAACTCATGTGTTTGTGTGCCAGAATTGACTTGCCTAAGGGCTGGGGATGTAGCTCAGCGGCACAGCGCCTGCCTTACAAGCACAAGGTCATGAGTTCAATTCCCGGTACCAGAGAAAAGTTAAAAAAAAAAAAGAAATACTTGCCTAGGTGGCATTTCCTTCATAGTGCCTACAGAGCTCATGAGTCCAACCAACCATGCCCTGTCCTCAGCTCAAATGCATAGAAAAGCAAACTTTCATGAGAAGACAGATGACCTGTGATTAAAGGGCAGGGTCTAACGTCAGGTCCACTGAGATCATCTGCCGCTCACCAGCTCCACTTACATGGGCAAGTTGTGATACTTCTCTGATCCGTGACTTCTCTTCTCCATATGAAGATAAAACACTTTGTCTCAGAGTCATTACAGAGATCATGTGAGACTGTGTCTGCTAAGCACTTACACCAGTGTTGCTACTGGAAAAATGTACACTGATTGCTGGAAAGCTGGTGTGCTTCCAATCCCATGATTTGTGCTGGGTGGTACTGCCAATTCCCGACATTCTACATATGTTTCCTATGCTCTAGGACCAGCCTAACTGTTTCTGTTTTAGTTGTGAAACATTTTTCCTAGATCGCATCTCATGCAGAACCCCAATATCTATAACTGGTAGATGTGGAGGTGTGCTAGCTAAAGATGGCACAGGGCTAGACAACCCCAGAAAGCTTCTAGAAAAGCCCCAGGGGCACCCCAAAGAACACCATTTAAGGATCACCTCTCTTATTACTGTTCTCCTAGTCAAAAGTTGTCAGCTGGTACAGCACAGTGCAAATGTTTCTGTTCCTCTTTCCTGAGGAACCATCCCATTCCTGTCTTCTCCTTGATGTTACCCTGGTGGGGGTTTTAAGTGTTCCTAGTAACACACTTGTAGACCTTTGGCTACCTCTGCAGGTGGCACATCTCAGGTGAATGTGGCGGTTGGTAGTTAATTCGTAGGAGCTCACCTTACTGCCTTTGTCTTGGGTTGCCCTTCTGCTGGTCACCCTGAGTAACTGAAATGTTACTTTTCTTGTTCAGTGAAGTTATGCATACAAATATATGCACACATTGGGGAAAATGCTTTGTAATATTCTATGTCCTGGTTTTTTGACTTGTGAGACAGTATGGGAGCAATACATGGAAAAGACAGCATGGAATCTGGATCTCTCCATCTACCCTAGCCACAGGGAATCAGGGGTTATGTGCTAGTGGGGTCTGTTTGCCTTGCAAGATAAATTTCATGTGTCTTTTTTTCTGTAAGGGCTTTACTTAGATATAATTTACATACTACATAATTTACTTATTTAAAGGATACAATTCAGTCATTTTTGCTATATTCTCAGAGCTGTGCAACCATCATCACAATAAATTTAGAACATTTTTTCACCACAAACAAAAGCCCCTACTAATTAGCAGTTATGCCATCTTTCCCCCAAACCTAACCCTACCTAGTCACCTGTTAGCCTACTTTCCGTGTCTGTAGATTCACCTGTTCTAAGCATTTCATATAAATAGAACCATTTAGTCCGTGTGTCCTTTGTGTCTGACTTCTTTCACTTAGCATAACCTTTTCAAGGTAGATCTGTGTTACAGCATGTATCAGGTCTTTATTCACTTTTGTTGTTAAATTATATTCTAGTATGTAGAAAAACCATGTTTTACTTTTCGATCAGTTGATGGATATTTGGGTTGTTTCCACCTTTCTCCATGTACAGCATAATATAATTATAAATGTTTGTAAAGATTTTTGTTTGTAGATTTTTGTTTTTGTAACTTAACCTATTAAGAGAATTAAGAATTTTAGTTGCTGGATTTATCTGCTATGTGCAAGATACTGTGTTGAGTACATACTACTCCTGTAACCTTCACAGCAGCCCAAAGAGGATGTTTCTCCCCATTTTCCATATGAGGAAATGGCAATCCCCTGGCTAATAAGGGGTAGAAGTGCCTTTCTGTGACCCCATAACACTGATTCTCCACACTGCTTCCAGAAGTTGGTCAGCCATTGGTACTGCCCCATTCCAGTCATCCCCACAGATTGCGACACTGACCAAGTCCAGATGATGGCCCACCTACTTGCACTATCTTAATTGAATCTTCACACCACCTGGGTGAAGTTGTCTTACTCTCCCTAGTGTTGAATGAAGAAAAGAGATTCAGAGTAGGTGCATGGCTCACCTGGGTGACATGGTTCGTGGGCACCAGAGATTGGGGCCCCAGTGTCAGCAGTATTCTGCACTGCTCCTCGCTTACCCACAGCTCTGCCTCACAAACTTGGCCTCGTATAGCCCTCTCTCACCTTGGGAAGAGTTTCTTATATGCCTGGAATTCCATTTTCAAAGGATAGCACATGTGTGGCTTGCTCTGTGCACACAGACACACATCCAAGGGTCTTCCTGTGCCTGGGCCCCAGTGACCTCATACAGACAGGACCCCAGTGACCTGGGGTCATTACAGAGTTCCTTGGGTGCAGATTCACATTACAGTTTCTTGGGTGCAGATTCACATCCACACCCTGCAACCAGAACCCCTGAAACATGGGGGGAACTTGCTTTTGGAATAGTGCTGTGGTGGAGAGAGACTTAGAGATCTGCCCAGAAATGGAAGATAGTAGTTGGGGGAGGTTTGGGAAGGAGGAGGGGTAACAGTAGTGGGTGGTGTACCAACTATTTCCATGTGGTTGCCTGCCCACAGCTGCTATCTTGGACGACCCCATGGAATGCAGCAGAGGGGAGAGGCTGTCCATCACCCTGGCCAAGAACCGCATCAACCGCGCTCCTGAGAGGCTGGGCAAGGCCAAGGTCGAAGTGGACATCTTTGAGCTGCTCAGAGACAGCGAGTACGAGACTGCAGAAACCAGTACGTAGAATGGACAGGGCTGGCAGAGGATTCGCTGGTGGTGTCAGCTGCCCCATTGCCAGGCCTCTGCCAGACATCCTCAGGGGAGGGGGAAAATATGCACCAGGAGGTCCTTTGAGGAGTGTAGCCTGTATGAGACTCCTGCATTTGTTGTGAATCATATATAGAATAAAGACAGAACACTATTTCATTTATTCATCTCCCTACTCATTCATTCCTTCATAGACTGATTCATTCATGTCCTGGATATTTTGTGCACAGGTCCCTGATTGAAATTGTGTGTGATTGGGAAAGAAGAAATACCAGCAACCCTATGGTGGCTGAGCCATTGCACATCTGATTGCTTGTCTTGCTTTTTTGTGCAGAGGACAGCATTGTGGGAGGAAACTGGGATGTGGGACTTGGAATAGAGTTGGGCTGCTTACTCTGTAAGTAACCTTGGACAAGCCACTACTTATCCTATCAGTCTCAGTTTCTTCATCTTAAGGTAGAAATACTGAGCTCTACTTTGAAAATCTACTTGGAGCTCTACTTTGAAAATCTTGCAAGTTGTTGTGAGATTTAAATAATTTAAAACGTAGGAAAATCTTCTATTAATTGCTGCATTGCAGACATATATTAGGTCACTTAAGCCGTACAGAAGACCCTTTACTATATGCTGGGCATTGCTTTTCATTTTTACAACAGTCTGAGAATTAAGTGTCATTACGTCCACTTTAGAAAAGAAACCAAGACTCAAGTTTACTGTCTTAGTTACTTTTCTTGTTGTCGAGACAAAATACCTGACACCTAAAGTTAAAGAAGGAGGTGTATTTAACTCATGGTTTGTAAAGATTTCAGGTCATAGTTGGCTGGTTCCAAGGCAGGGTGGTGTGGAAGAGCAGCATCACAGAAGAGAAACTGTTTATGGCAAGGAGAAGGCAGTGAGGCAGCAAGCAGCAAAGTGGCCAGGCAGCAGCAAGCAAAGTCAGAAACCTCTAGTTTTCTCTATTCCAGGTTACCTACATTTTGGATGGTGCTACCCACATTCAGGGTGGGCCTTCCCATTATCCACACCCAGAACTATGCTTAACCGACCAACAGACTAATTTAGTAACCATGTGCCCTTAATCCCAGTTTCACACAATTTAATCCCAGCATCACACATCCTAGAACCAGCCACCTCTGAAAAAGCCCCAGACCTTATAAATCCAGTCCACAATCTGCTGTGCCTCCTCTGTGATGCCATGGCCTGTTTCTGGTATTATCTTGGCAACTTGAAGTTGGAAATGATAGTGAAGAAAACCTCCTCTCACCCAGTGGTGGCTAGAAAGCAAGAGTTAGGAAAAAGAGGGCTTGGGTTCCCATTATCCCCTTCCAGGGCAGGCCCCTAATGATCCAACTTCCTTCTATTAGGTCCTACTTACTAAGGGTCCCACCAGCCCTAATAGCACCTCAGGCCGGACACTAAGCCTTTAATACGTGGCCTTGGGGAGACACTCAAAATCCAAACTATAGCAAGAGTGCCTAAGCCCAGACTAGCTAACATTTATTCTAAGACTTGGAAGAGTCCCTGTCTCCTCCTATTCCAACCCATTTGGACCTTTAACAACACTCAATGGCAAATGCAAATAAATAAAACAAAAGAACAAATTACTTATGATGTCAGACATCTGGTCTCCCATATGAGGACCCAGCAATGTTCTAGCCTAGGCTGTTAGAATTTCGAGAAAGGAAAAACATTTGTACTGCCAAGTACAGCAGGTTAGGATATTGTCAGGACCCAGAAAAGGGAGAAGGGGAGGAAGGTAATGACCCCAAGACCTACCAACCTTTCTCTCTTTCTGTATTTCTGGCATGACTCAGGACATCATGGATTGGGAATAATGGCAGAAACAAGGCAGATACAGTCCTTGCCCTCTGGTGGTTTGCAGTCTCTGTTCAGAGTCTGCATCAGTGGCAGCTTCCCACAGTGCCTCTTACTAGGGGTCCCTGAGATGGAGAACCTGCTTGGCCCAGTTCGTTTTGCTGTGTGGACAGTCTCACAGGTATTGGCCAGATTGTCCGCTGACTACCCTTGGTGACAGTGTCCATTCCTGGTCCAATAGCTATGACTGAGAGTGGATCATACTATGCAGAACAGAGCTAATGAGGTCCTCAGGGCCTATGGGCACAGATTCCTCCAGAAGAGGATATGGTAGAATAAGAAGCAAAATAGTTATTCATGTATTCATTAACTCATTCAGTCAATAAACACTTACTGTGTGATATTTTGCTTGATTTTAGGGAATAAGTTTTCAACAGGGAAGAGATAAAAGTCCTAGTTGTCATAGAGGTGAATTTGTAGTACAATGAACGGAAAATTCAATTTCCCTAGATCTTCCAAGTGAAATCAGATATACCAGCAATGACTTCCAATGGATCTTCTAGCCCTGTCTGCAAGATTTCTTTGTTTAGATCTTAGATGAGGGTTCAGACTTTTAAATAGTTCTTTAGTCCCTTTGAACTGAGTCTGTCAGCTCCACCTACAGGCATCCCTGGCAGGACCAAAAGTGCAGATTTGCCTGCTGTGGATGGCATCATTAGCAGATGTATATTTCCACTCGCAGTGACCCAGGCAGCCTGCTTAGTAAAGTCAATACGTGGAAAATATTAAGCCAGGTGAACTGGGAATAAAGGAATTGATATCTTTATTCTACATTGCAGAGCTTTGAGCATCTTTTTTATGCCCTTCTTTTAGGTGCCAAATATTTTATTGGCAAGTAGCCCTCATTCAGCCTTTACATCTCAGTGTGTTAGAGACATGATTAACATTTGTTAGAAAAGAAAGCTTCTGGATCTTTCTACCCCAAAGGCCTTTCAGCTGAAGCCAGAGTGCTTTCCCACAATGGGTTTTAAACATCACCTGAGTAGTTCACGGACAGGTTTCATCTCTCCCAAAGTAAGAGGACGATGGATGGATGGTAGGTTAGTGCTGTTGGCTGAATCCAGCGGGGACAGAGACTAGATGTCAGTGGAGGAAGCAGGGAAAGGAACGGAGGAAAGGGACAGCATCCCAGGGTAGAAGAGGGCCGAAAACTCTGTGATCCTACTTTGAGCTGTCTGTGGATATAAAAATTAGGATCATGGGTTTTAGAGTCAGATCAACTGGGGTTAAATTCTGGCAGTACCACTCATTAGCTGTGTAATGTGGACAGGCTGTTTACCTTTTCATGCTTCAATTTCCTCACTTGTAAAAGAAGAGTGACGGTAATGTCACTTTATGGGGTCCTTCAGAGTACCCCACGAGATAGTGGGTGAAACCTTTACACTATTCACACAGCTGAGAGCAAGTGACAGGTGCAACTTTTTGGTGGCTTTATCCTCTTCCAGTCACAGCTGAGCAGGCTGCCTCTCAGCCTCTCAGTGTCTTTCCACTGTTTCAAAGTTAGGCCACAACCACGTAGCAGCACTATGTCCAGGTTCTTCTCAGGTGGCTTGCCGAATGTCAACAGCCATCCTGATTGGATATTCCCCTTCTCTTTCTAGGTATCTGGGCTTGATGCATCTGGCAGCTTTGGACTTTGGAGGTTAGGTGGGCTACCCCAAGCCAGCTCCCACTCAGTGTCACAGACTGTTTTCCCTGGGCTAATGGGCCCAGGCTAATTTGCATTGCTAATTTTAAAATATGTGCATGGCCCCAAGACTCTGACCAACTCCCCCAAGTTCACACCTATTACCCTGTGGTCAGGGAGCCTGCTTCAAGGGAATGAAAGAGCCCCTGGTGATAATGTTTTTGCCTGTAGAATGCAGAAACTCCTACTGAAGCTGGGACTGTAGCAGTTCAGCAGGGCACAGTTATGCCTTGCTTTCTATAATAGATGGGTTTCAAAAAGCTCAGTACACATCACACTTAATGAGTCACATTCAAGGTGGACAAGTCAGTCCAGGGAAGCAGTGGTTACTTTCAGAATTAAAAATGATGAAGTGCAAAGAAGGTAAAGATGCTGGAACCTAGCAGTGCACCTCATATGATGTTTGAATATGAGGCTCACAGCCAGAAAGCGTCACACAGGGTATTAATTACCACCCAGCCTGGGAGCTTGAAAGATAGCAGTGGAGATCACCTTCCCCCATCCTATTAGGTTCAAATAGATTTTCATACAGTGGGTTTAGTTAAAGTGAAGGTCACTGTAAAGCTTCCTCCAACCCATGGGGTCTCCCCCAACCTCTGCCCTTTCACCGTTACTGCCTCAGGCTTCTAGGTGTTTGACTTCCCAACTCCCCTACACAGCCCACAGATCTTAAATAAAAGGGATGGACAAGACCTATGAGGTCATCTCCCCTCCCACCGGAGCCCTCCTCCCTCTCTTCCATATCTCATCTCCATCACAGCCTTTCTCTTTGCAGGGAGCTCCCACCAGGCATAGCAGGCCTCTGTTCCACAGATCACTGTGTCTCCTGCGGTGACTGTATTAGAGCTTAACTAAACGCCACCCCTTTACCACCCAGATACCCCGAGGCACCATCCCTGCTGCTGCCAGAGACAGTTTGCAGTTTAATTTACTGCAGAGCTGTAAGCAAGGGCTTTCCTAGCAAAACTTCTTGTCTCTGTGAGCCAAGCATGCCATCAGCTGTCCACAGTGTCCCCCATGGAAACCCAGAGGCTCACTAATGACAGGGCCTACTGTAGCTCCCGTGGGCCTGGCATGGAGCACAGCATGTGATTTTCTGGCTTTTTCAGGCCACTCTTCCTGCATAGGCTGCCGAGCTCCTTGATGGCTCCACGGGCGTGATTCCAGTGATTTGAAGGTACCTCTAATAAGTGAGGGCCAGCATCCCTCCATCAGTTTGATGGAGTAAATTGAGGTCAGCGTAAGCAAAAAAAAAATGAAGAAGCCAGAAGAAAAATGCATATAAATTATGAAATAGTGATGAGTCATTCAACAAACATTCCCTGCTCTCCTCTCTGAGTTACCCATGTCACATATGCACAATACAGACTTGAACATGCATTGAGTTACAGTGCTTAGAAATCATCC